CTGTAAGAAGAAACATGTTCAAACTAAGATATAGAAGACAATATACATGACCTGGTTTCACTGAAAAGTCAATACTATCGATCACATCACAGTTGGGAGAAGACCACCGCAGTAAAAGAAAATGGCAGAGAGTGAAAAACACCACTGAAGTTCATGACGGGATTAAAGCGAGTCAAGAATTCTCTAAGCTGCCAACTGTCCATGTCTTGTAGGGGAAAATGATCATCTTCAGTGATGTTATTGTCACTTTCTCCCAGTATAAAAGTGTATGTGTGAGGAGACAGAGGCGGGGAGGGAGGAGCATAGCAGTTAGTGTTAGTACATACCATTGCCTTGGAGCTAGTCAAAGGATAGCAATGCCATGGGGAGAGCAGAAGCAGAGGACAGAGACTAGTCTTACTCACTGAGCACATACAGCACAAATTCATACACAACACTAACATAACCTCTAACACTTCAGCTGAGAGACATTTCACAAGGACTATTTCAGAAACACTCAGCTTGCTTGATTGAAGCAAAAATATAGCCACTTAAAGGGGCAGTTCATTCAGAAATGAACATTCTGACATTATTCACCCTCATATGCTTCCAGACACACATGATGCTGTTTTTCTTATCCAAACAAGCTGTCAAGTTCCAAAAAGAACAAAAAGCAATATAAATGCATATAAATATAGTCATACCTCTCTTCTGAAGCATTTGATTACTTTTTGCGTCTATGCTGCAAGTTTGATGTAATGACGTGTGCTTACAAGACATGTGAACCAATGTCATTTGTTATTATTGATGTCAATTACATGCCATAGGAACCATATTTAATTTGAGAGCTGGTTATCAGTGCATCAACTTTAGTCTGGTCATTACAAAGATATCATTTCAGAACACATGGAATATAGCAAATTAGTCATATAGATAAAACCTGACAGACCACGGTTATTAAGAACTGTCATTGTATGGAAAATATCCATGTGACAGTTCTTTAAAAAAAAACCTCTTCTTTCAGTATATTTGGAATGACATGAGGGTGAGTAATTGGCAAAAACTTCATTTTGGAGTGAGCTATTCCTTTCAATTGTGACATGATCTGGTTTCTTCGGTACGTTCCTCAGCTGTAGACAAAACCAGTTACTGAAAAGAAAGCTGACAAATCAAATAGGACGTGTCTGGACCCCTTCAGCTGAGAGACATTTCACAAGGACTATTTCAGAAACACTCAGCTTGCTTGATTGAAGCAAAAATATAGCCACTTAAAGGGGCAGTTCATTCAGAAATGAACATTCTGCCATTATTCACCCTCATATGCTTCCAGACACACATGATGCTGTTTTTCTTATCCAAACAAGCTGTCAAGTTCCAAAAAAAACAAAAAGCAATATAAATGCATGTAAATATAGTCCATACCTCTCTTCTGAAGCATTTGATTACTTTTTGCGTCTATGCTGCAAGTTTGATGTAATGACGTGTGCTTACAAGACATGTGAACCAATGTCATTTGTTATTATTGATGTCAAATACATGCCATAGGAACCATATTTAATTTGAGAGCTGGTTATCAGTGCATCAACTTTAGTCTGGTCATTACAAAGATATCATTTCAGAACACATGGAATATAGCAAATTAGTCATATAGATAAAACCTGACAGACCATGGTTATTAAGAACTGTCATTGTATGGAAAATATCCATGTGACAGTTCTTTAAAAAAAAACCTCTTCTTTCAGTATATTTGGAATGACATGAGGGTGAGTAATTGGCAAAAACTTCATTTTGGAGTGAGCTATTCCTTTCAATTGTGACATGATCTGGTTTCTTCGGTACGTTCCTCAGCTGTAGACAAAACCAGTTACTGAAAAGAAAGCTGACAAATCAAATAGGACGTGTCTGGACCCTATTAATAAATATATACGTATATACTGGCTTTAAAATAAAATAAAATACAAATTTAATTAAAAGGGAAAAAACTAAATCCTCATTTTATCTAAAATATCTAAATAACTAAATTAAAACTTTCAGTAAAATATTTCATCCAAGGCAATTTTTGTGCATAATTAAACATCTCTCTCTCACGGTCATTAGATTTATTAATTTAAATTATTATATTACAATACTGCCAGAAGATGACAGATTTTCATATTATCAAAACACTTTCTTTGAAATTTTGATGGGAATGGTCAAGGTCCTAAGAGTGAGGCTCATTTTGGGGACGTTGCCAGCTGCCATGAAATAGACAATGTCTGGATTAGGTAACAGAGAGAGAGAGAACCCATTGAATTGGAGTGTTAATATTACAAGCAGTCAGTATTGCATGCATGCTAAAACAAACCTTCCAGCTAAAGCCCAGAAAGAAAACGATATACAGCAATAATGCAACAAATCCATATGGCACAGAATATCACATCAATAAACTAATTTAGAGAGCCACCATGAACATGGAGTGGAATGAGAAGATGAAAAGACAAAAAGTGGACCAGATTATGGTTGGGACATGAGGTATGGTATGAGGTAGGATCAGCAAATGCTGAAAAACCCAGTGAGAGTGAATAAGAGGCAGTCAGAGTGCAGAGACTGCTAGATTTGAGTGTAGTCAAAGAACTCAAGCTCATTAAAAGGAGGTTTATGTTTGGAGTCAAATACCCAATATCCAGTGGTAGACATCACTTCGGGTCTTGGGAGAGCAAGGAAGGGATGTTGTACAGCCCTGCCCTTACAGTTCAAACTGTCAAATGAGATTCACATCAATGCCCATTCAGCCAGAGTCCCTGCTGCTGCTGCTGCTTTTTCAAGCAGTGACGTTAACAAAAAAGGACCATAGATTTTTTTAAAAGCTTAGGGTTTTACCAATGTATTATAAAGGAAAATGCCATAAACAAATGCCTCCTATACAACGCTTAAATTAGTATCACCAGAATATTCACTAATATAATTTATCTCCAGCAGAATCAATGCAAATATATTATGAATATTCAATATACCACTTAGCAGTTATTTAAATGTATACTGAGGTCTTAATTTCAAATATCAAAAATGAAATGTCCTTTCTGCATGATGGGGTCAAGTACAAACAATGAATGATAGGTAGTATGCATGATCGTGACAATGTAGACAAGGTGAAGACCAGTGACAACACTGAAAACAACACATTTACAGAGACAAACACCTTAATGACAGTGAGAAGAACTAAGACAAGGCTGGCAGTGAGGGGTTTATGGCGCAGTGAACTGGGATGGAAATGTAATAAGACATGGGGGTGGAAATGGCTGAAAATGCTTCACCCATGTCTCCCTCTGAGCTCATAAAGTACATTCTGTCAAGAAATAAAAGGATTATAACGAGTCCTTCAGCAATTTTCAGGCACTATAGAGAGCAACACTTTTTTCCACATTTTTTTCAATGGGCTTGGTCCTGTGTTTAACATTGTTTTCCTTTTTTTTTTTAGCATAAAAATCAGCATATTAGAATGATTTCTGAAGGATCATGTGACACTGATGACTGCAGTAATGGCTGCTGAAAATTCAGCTTTGCATCACAGGAATAAATTACATTTGAGAATATATTAAAACAGAAAACACTTCTTTTAAATAGTAATAATATTTCACAATATTATTGTTTTTACTATATTTTTGATAAAGTAAAATGGTGAGCATAAAAGACTTATTCAAAAACATATCGTATAATAAATTATGTATTTGGGAAAAAAATTACAATAGAAAACTAATGACTTATAGTTATTGAATATAAGCATAAAAACAGCATATTCAAATGTATACAAATATATAAGTCTTTGGTTGGCTCTCTCGTGGATTTATGGATTATGGGTAGTACACTCTTAGAAAAAAACGTGCAAAAGCTGTCACTGGGGCGATACACTTTTGCACCTTTTAGGTACTAATATGTACACTTTAGGTACTTCTTTAAGGTACCAATATGGACTCTTTAGGTACAAAGGTGTGCCTTTTGAAAAGGTACCGCCCCAGTAACAACTTTTGTACCTTTTTTTTCTGAGAGTGTAGGGTAGTTTTTAACCATGAATTTGGCTTTTGTACATATTTAAAGAGGATGAAATATGGAGAAATGAAGCCCGATTTTTTTTACTTGCACCTGATGTGCTGTTTTCTAAAGTCATGTCCTATTTTATAGCTCTGGCATATTTTGTCCTGTGCTTGCTTACAATACAATAATCTCTAATATTTCCTGAGATTTAGAAGTTATGTAAGTCATGAGTACTGAGGGAGACAAACTGATTGATTTGATGCTGGTGTCCACAGTGGCTGTAATTTCAGTGACGGCTATGCTTCGGAATTATGTGTAATCCAAGTACTAATCATCAGGGGCCGAGAGGATGACATTGGTTATTTTTTAAGCAAAGCATATTAACAGACGACAGCAGCTGCAGTTATGATGTGCAGACTGTTTCTCATGTGTGAGTGCGTGTGCTCACCACAATAACAGAGACTCCAGGGGAAATGTTGCTCTGTTTCTGCACAGAGTTAAAGTGCTTTTTGAGTTTACCTGCTACCTCCATCTTCATATTGTTTTCCATTGCAGAATCCTCCTGTTGGTTATTGAAGTGGATTTAGGATAGGCCAATCTAATGGCGAGCAATATAACTGTGTTCACCAGAACATTCAGACTAAATTGTAGGTTTCAGTTTGAAAAATAATTTGAAGCATAAATCAAAACCACTTCCAATACAGCTCAAATGACTCAAATAATGTTTTATGAGTAAGTATGCAAGTGAATCCCTTGTGGCCAATCATGCCACATTTTGGTATATTATATCTTATAAATAGAAATCTGATACTGTAATGTAGCACATGCATTACCTAACTTGACAAAAAACATACACATACACACAGCACTAAACCTTTTCACACACATTTACCGTGACCCAGGGGTGAGACAGAACATCCTCCGCTGTGTATCTGGCCTCCACATTCACCTGCAGCATGTGACCAATCAACTCCTGTGCGAACACACCATGATCATATTTTCAATAAACAGATGTCAAGAAAATGTAATACATTTTATCATAAAAACAGAAAAGGTACACAAAAAGACAAAACAAATAGTTCCCCTTCAGGAACTCGCGCTGCATCAGAAACGCTTTGGGAACGTCTCTGTGTGATTTGACTATGCTCTGAAGCATGTGTGAAATCAGTCCAATGGAATGGCAAGATGTCATCTGATCTGAGGATCATCATTCTTGCCAAGAAGGTTTCGGCCAAGAAGTGCTGATGCCTGTGGTGCTGGACTTCTGAGGGCAGGCCCTCATTATACAGTGCCCGTCTCTCCTTATGCCCTCAGGAGATCGGTCTGTCAACCCTATCACCCGTGGTGCTTCAGGGCACAGCAGTCTAACAGTGAGCACAGCTCTCATTGTCCGCTCGGAAACGTAGTGGCTCTGGGAGTCTCGCATCCTCCAAGGAGGTTATTAGAGCAGTCAGCTTGGTCGTTCCCTGCTGGTCATCCACTTCAGGGCACCGAGTTGACTGCTTAAAGTACACCAGAGGTCAGTCTCGAGAGACTGATTGCCTTAATAGACCATCATATTGACGATTGGTTGATATTAGCTCAATCGGAGCAGATGGCTGTTTGGCATCGAGATGCCGTCCTCGCCCATATGAAAGAGATGGGGTTAAGGTTGAACGCCAAGAAAAGTGTGCTTTCTCCAGTACAGAGAACCACTTATCTGGGCAATGTGTGGGATTTGACCACGATGCAGGCACATCTGTCTCCTGCTCAAGTTGAGTCGATCCTCACAGCCGCAAAGAGGGTGAAGCTAGGCCAGTCACTCAGTCAAACAGTTTCAGAGACTGTTGGGTCTGATGGTGGCTGCATCCAACGTGACACCTCTTGGCCTGCTGTACATGAGACTCCTGCAGTGGTGGCTCAGAACCAAGGGGTTTTCCCTGAGGGGCAACTTGCTTCGCATGATCAAGGTCACACGATGAGGCTTACGTGCCTTAGTCATGTGGAGGAAGCCTTGGCCTCTGCCGTTTGAACATCTGAAACCTAAAATAAGTAGTATATGGTTGTAAACATTGAATATTTGTGATAATATGACAAGCGCTCAGCGCATCCGATCTGGCTATGCGCCAGGCAAAGCGCGAAAGCGGATTTAAATTCAGCAGTTGATGACGTGACCCAATTAAAGTTCTAATCACACCGGTGTGATCGTACGCTTCAGGGACCAGCCAAGACTGATCACACCGGTGTGATCGTACGCATCAAAGGGTTAACATATGTAGCAAGGATTGGAACATTCATTGACTTGAATTGTGAGCAACAACAGAGGCAATCAGTTGTGAATATAAGGGATTTAATAAATGAAACTATATCTAACATATAACTAACTAAGCAAAGTACATATATACAGAATGAAGCAAAGTAAGAAAAAGAGAGAGGAAAGAAAAAGAATGGCAGTATTTCACATCACTTAACCACAACCTTTGAAAATCATCAAAGAATCAAAAATCACCTTAAAAAGGGGCTGAAACTTAAACACGCATCTAAATAATTGTAAGCGGTTACTTGCATTGGTTTCGATTGCTGAAACACGAATCCTGATGCGGTAGATACCGGAGGTCTTTGATGAGTTCGTGAGGAGTGAGCTGGAAGTTTTACTTCTGGTTCTTCTGACGAAGGAAAAGTCCACAGCAACTAAAGTTACTTGAAGATAAAAACTGCCGGAAAATAAAACTCAAGAGGAAGATCTTAAGAGACTTGGAAAGGTGTTGTCTCAAACGAAGAGGAGTTTCTGAGCAAAGATTATTTCGGGCTAATCGCTTTTGAGGGTTCCTATGCCCACCCCCTTTTGGGTGGAATGGCCAATCAGAGGCATGAATTTTGAGCGGGAGAAACTTTCTTTGTCTCTTGTTTATGGCCCATTTGCATGTTTATTGCTGGTCTGGAAGATTGGTGCAGTTTTACCCCAAATATGCTACAAATAGTAAGATGCATTTCACGATCACATAGTGTAGATCATTGTTTGAGGAATAAAGAGCTGATCATTTTGATACCAAGAACGAAACATCTAGAAGATCTTAAAGCAGAGATACACTCATATACCTGAATATAAGCATTGAGAGTCTAACTAATACAAATAAAAAGTTGTAACTAGGCTAATACAATAGGAAAACATACAAACAACACATGCATATACCAGATACAATTATAACTGATTAATTATAGTCTAAATAAAGAAATGTCTTTATGTGTGTGTGTTTGTGTGTGTGTGTTAGTTTGCATGGTCAGCCAGGCCCATTGTTGCCTGACATCGGGGTCATTTACAGCTCTTTGGGAAGTGTTTGAAGTCAGATGGGGGAGATGATAGTGGGGGGGACTGGTTAGAATCTCCTTGATGGCGAGGAACCATTTGGCAATTTAGACCCCCATACAAATGTATAGTCTCTGACCAGAACTGTAATTTATATGCAAATGTCAAAAGGCTAAAAGGGTCTCTTAAGCCATAAAACCCCAAAGATCATGCATGATTCTACGCAGACGCTACAGTGGGCATAGCTCATAGCTTCCGGTATCTCAACTGAGGTTGTTGAGACCATACTCCAGTCCAGAGCTCCCTCCACAAGTAAACTGTACTCTTTGAAGTGGAACCTTTTCTTGGTGCGACATCCGTCAGCTGGACCCAGTCAACTGCCTGGTTGATTCAGTGCTGGACTTACTGCAGGAACAGTTTTCCGCAGGGTTAGCCCCCTCCACCCTGAAGATGTACGTGGCAGCCACAGTTGCTTACCACATCCCCCTGGGTGGTCAGTCATTGGGGAGAAACCCGTTGGTTACACATTTCCTCCATGGCACGTTGAGGCTGAGGCCTGCTTCACGCTCTAGAGTCCGGTCCTGGGATTTGGCCGTGGTCCTAGAAGCTCTCTGTAATCCTCCCTTTGAACCCCTTGAGGAGGTTCGGGAAATTTTCCTTACAGTTAAGATCATCTGATCATCTCTTTCCTTAAGAGAGTTGGTGACTTTCAGGCCCTTTCTGTGGCCCCTTCTTTTCTGGAGTTTGCGCCTGGTATGGCTAAGGCATTCTTATACCCTAGGCTAGGGTATGTGCCTAAGGTGCCCACCGTGGTTCTATGGCCCGTTATGCTGCAGGCTTTCTATCCTCCTACCCTTAGGGACCCAGACCAGGAAAAGCTTAATCTTGTTTGTCCAGTCAGAGCACTGGATGCTTATGTCCACAGAGCTTCCCTGTGTAGGCAGTCTGATTATTTGTTTACTTTGGTCCGCCCAAGAGAGGTCTCCCGGCAACCAAGCAGACCTTAAGTCGGTGGATTGTGGATGCAATATCTTTGGCTTATGAGTCCACTAACCTCCCTTCACCCCGGGGGTCAGAGCGCCACACTCTACTAGAAGTGTGGTAGCCTCCAGGGCCTTTCTCTCTGGGGTGTCAATGCATGACATCTGTAACGCTGCAGGCTTGTCCACCCCACTTACGTTTGTCAGGTTTTACAACCTTGACATGGGAGCCACTCCTGGCTCCTCTGTTCTCTCATCCTAGTTGTATAGTGTTCCACACTAGGCAGGAATTTGTAACCATGGCGGAGTGAGTTTTCTCATTCCCAAAGCGTTTCTAATGCAGTGCAAGTTCCTGAAGGGGAACGTCTCTAGGTGACGTATGTAACCATGTCTCCCCTAAGAGAACGAGACACTGCTGCATGTGCTTTTAAACTTCCTGCTCACCACGTCATCCTGCTTATGACATCTCGCCATTCGATTGGACTGATTTCACACGTGTTTCAGAATGTGGTCATGCAGAGGCATTTCTGATGCAGCGTCTCGTTACATAACCTAGCAACGTTATTTTAAATCTTTGTGCTTTAAGTTAAAGAATGATGGAAAGTGAGGACATACTTCAGTGAATCCAAACTTCAGAAAATGACTTTTAGTTTGTAATTTAGTTTGTAAAACATTAGTCTTAGCGACACATTTAGTCTCAGCCCTAATGATCTAACGTTTCTGGATTATGTTCAGGCCCAAACAGAATCTGACTTTTTTTTAATAATATATATAAATACATTTAAAATATAATATTCTATATTCTATATATAAATATGTTAAATATAATATTATATATAATATAATATAAGATACTGGCCTGATTTCCTAATAAAAAGACCATTAACACAATCTAAAAATGCTTACTGCTTGTCCACATTTGCACACACAGCAAAAATTCTGTCATTCAGTGCAGAATAATATGTTAGAAACCCAGCAAGCAAAACAGTTCTAAAGCTGGATGGGGTGAATGTGAGAGGGGGAGGATGTGAATGAGATTATATAATAATGTGAGTAGGATGAAACAGAGTAGGGTGCAGTCAGGACAGAATATAGCATAAAGAATGAAGGATGTTAAGGTAAATGGGTGAGAGTGTGTTTAAAGCATGCTAAAGGAATAGTTCAGCCAAAAATGAAAATGTGTTGCAAATTTACTCACTCTCACGTCATTCAAGATGTAGATGATTTTGTTTCTTCATCAGAACAGATTTAGAGAAATTTAGCATTACATCACTCACTAATGTTACTATATGTTACTAATGCTACTCAACTCTGATGAAGAATGAAACACATCTACATCTTGAATGGCCCGTGGGTGAGTACATTTCTAACAATTTCGACTTTTTAGGCAAACTATTCCTGTAAGTGTTGCCAGTGTGTGTTTGTCTCCACTCACTTTAGCAGAATCTGTGATATTGTCCCAGAAGGGTGATGGGAACTCTAAACGCCCCACTAGAATCTGATCAAAAAGGTCCTCCTGGAGGTTATTCTCACTACAAAAACAAATGCCAAGCACACAGACAATAAAAATATATATTTAATGTTTAACAACTGCTGAGAACAATACATACAAAACATGAGCAATATGAACAACATGAGACTAAATATTAGATTTTAAACACTGTAGATTATTAACACGAAGGACTGAGCAGGTACTATCTTGTGGTACCTGCGGAAAGGTGGAAAGCCACATAGGAGGATGTAGGTAATTACTCCAGCTGCCCAGATGTCCACTTTTAGCCCATATCTGCGGCGATGCCCAGACAGAAAGACACAGTCAATAACATTCAGCCCCCAGTATTTTAAAGGCTATTAATCACAGCTATTCATGCCATCACTTTAGAAAAACAATAATAAATAAATAAATATAATAAACGATAAAAAAAACAATGCTGATATGAAAACAAAACAATCAGTGATTCTTACCCTGACTCTGTTATGATTTCTGGGGCAACATAAGTAGGTGTTCCACAAACAGTGTAAAGCGGCCCTTCAACCACTGTGGCTAAGCCAAAATCACCCAACTTTAATGACTTTATACCATTAGGGTACTCACACACCTACGACACACATAGTGAAAGAGGTAAAAGGATTATTTTTATCCACCCAGATTTACATTTTTTCCTTTTGACATACCTTAAGTCATTTTCCACAAACAAAGTGCAAAGTTGTTTTCTTCACAGGTTTTGTATTTCTGTACTGCTGTGTATGTGTTAAAGATGTGTGAACTAAAGTATTTTCAGATTTATTGTCTCTGTGCAGAATGTGTAGGTGTATATACCTGTATACTGTATATTTAATGTCTCTTTTGAGGATATGTTTGACTGCATATATAAGCGTACCAGCAGATTCTCAGGTTTGATGTCTCGATGGACGATACACATTCTGTGCAGATATTTGAGAGCCGCCGCCAGGTTGAATACCATTAATCTAGCATCTCTTTCAGTGTATTTTGTCGAGGAGGTGATTGCATCAAACAGATCTCCACCCTGAAACACACAGATGGCAATACAAATAACTAAAAATCTCAATCCCTGTATTTTGAATAAAACACACTTTCACCCAGAGGTAACATGTTTTGGCCTTTATATGGGCTAAGTGTTTGATCAATATTGAAAGCGGCCATTTAGTGCAATGTTGCTGACAACAATACACAGAATTTGTAATGCATTTAACTTTCCTATAATGCAGGGTGTATCTTATTTTATATTTGGGGATTTTATTTAATTGTGAAAATTATATTATATTATATTATATTATATTATATTATAATATTATATTATATTTTTAGTTTAGTTTAGTTTAATTTAGTTTTTTTTACATAAACTACTGGTCAAAAATTAAAAAGACATTTATATTGTTGCAAAATATTTATATCTCAAATAAATGCTTTTCATCAAAGAATTATACAATAAATAAATAAATAAAAAATCACAGTTGTATCACGGATTCCACAAAAATTTGCTGAAAATAGATATTCAGGAGTTACCATATAATACATTATATTACATTAAAATTACATAATAATATATACTATACTATAATATATATATATATATATATATATATATATATATATATATATATATATATATATATATACATACAGGTGCATCTCAA